TGTCCTGGAACTCACTCTGTAGACCAGGCTGGCCTCGAACTCAGAAAGCTGCCTGCATCTGCCTCCCAAGTGCTGGGATTAAAGGTGTGTGCCACCACTGCCTGGCTTGTATATCTATCTTATATACTCAGAGACACAAGGTTTTGTAAAAGAATTTTTTGGAGCAAAACTGGTTTGCAAGTGGGAAAAGTTCAAGAAGTCTTAATTTAGAATTCTGAGAGAAATATCAAACTCTTATAAGTATCAGTAGATAGACTTGAAGTGAAACTGACATTTACATCCTTTGGGTAATATGGAGTACACAATTAAGTAGGCAAAACGAAAACAAACAATCAAAAACAACAACAAAAAAAACAAAACAACAAAGATCCATCGCATACACAAGAAACAAAACAAAACCACGGAATCATTCAATACATATTTAAAAGTAAGACTTTTTTTTTAAGGATTATTTATTTTTTTATATGAGTGTACTATCTTCAGACACACCAGAAGAGAAAATCGGATGGCAGTACAGATGGTTGTGAGCCACCACGTGGTTGCCAGGAATTGAACTCAGGACCTCTGGAAGAGCAGTAGGTGCTCTTAACCACTGAGCCATTTCTCCAGACCCCAAAATAAGACTTTTTTTTTTTAAAAAAAATTTTGTTCACTTAAACACTTTTTCTAGAAATACTCACTTTACCTCAAGACTGGTGGCCAATTACACATATTTCAACATGAGGCCTTGGATTAGGAAAAGCAGTTTGTGGTTGTAAAACCGATCCAATCTAGCCGGCCGTGGGGAAATGGAATCCATGACGTTATCTCATTAGTGAAGACTTAAGCCCAGGGAAGGATTGACACTATTCTGGTACCTGGAAGGTGGGTGATTCCTCACTCCTGATTTAAATCACTTTCTGGGTTCTATCTCCTTTGTACGAAATATGATGTGTTCCTGTTATATAGGGAGGGGCAGCGGGATATGCCTTACAGAACTCAGAAACAGTCTGTTCTCATTGTCAAACTAAGGAGAGAAGGGAAGCCCCAAAGTGTGAATAGGCCTGCTCAGGGTTTTCTGGTGGCTGTGGCACAAGCAGGAGAGAACACACACTTATTGGACTTCATTCTTGGGCATCTTTAAACTTGGGGGAGAGGGGGACTGGTTCATGGAGGAGGTCATTTACCACAGGCCTGTGTCCTAAAAGGCAGGACATGCTTTGTGTTAGGGAACGGGAGTAAACAGTTCTAACTCGGAAGTTCATGGAGAGAGGCAATTACAGTATGCAAACTCAGATGCTTTGAAGGACCTTCACTTGGAAGCTCTTGAGTAGCCTCAAAACGTCTTTGAAGAATGAGAGCTGCAGTCTGTTTAAAATGTCTTCCATGTGAATGTTACTTTGACTTCAAATGCCTAGGAGTGTATATTTGAAGAGTTGGTACATTTGATATAAAAATATGAAGAAAAATAAGGAACTGACATAATCCCCTTGTTTGGAATGTCAGGGATCCATAGGCCTATTGGAAGAATGTGTTGGGTATTTACATGTTGTGGGATGAGGCAGAGTAGAAGACACAAGGTAGAGAGAGAGGATATTAAGTCACGCTGGCCAGAATCATAAAGCATTCGCCAGCTAATGGTAGGTAGAAGGTTGAAGGCAGGTAGAGAGGTTTCTATTAGCATGTTATTCCTCTGAGGAACAAGGAATTCAATGTACTGATGACAGTACCAATTTATATGAAGAATCTTGATATCTAGAGTCTAGTAGCATTTCTGTCTGTGATGGTGGCATTTATGGAAAAAAGTTAAATTACTTTTATTTTATTTTACCTTTTGGTGAGGGGAGCAGATTTAAAAGTCCTTATTCTTACAGGACTTCAGGATCTTTAGTATCTCCATCTTGGGCCACATTTTAGCAACACCTTGAGGTGAAGCTTTTATAGAGAGTCCCGAAGCAGAGATACAATGTCTCTGCTTGTATCAAACCTCAAACCACTGCTATTTCTGATAGCCAACCTTCACCCAGGGCAGTTTCTATGCAAGTCATAGAAACTTTTTTTTAAAATTTATCTATTTTATGTATGTGAGTACACTGTCAATATCTTCAGACAATGCATCAGACCCCATTACAGATGGTTGTGAGCCACCATGTGGTTGCTGGGAATTGAACTCAGGACCTCTGGAGCAGTCAATGCTCTGAAAGACTGAGCCATCTCTCCAGCCCAACTGTTGGCTTTAATAGGCCTTCTTTGATTGGTTGTCCTTCATAGACTTTTCTAGGATAATGTGCTAGCAGACATGGATGAACGTCATTATTGCTACCAGGACCCCTCAATTATTCTCCCTACCATGGTATTTACTTCTTAACATAGTTGTACATAATGTTACTTTTGTATCATTTCAAGTACTTTGCAGGAGGTGGTGGGTGGGCATGGTAGCAAATACTATCCAGCACTTAGGAAGCTGAGGTGTTAGGCCTGTTGTCAATCTCAGGCTAACCTGGGTTGCAGTATAAGATCCTATACCAAAAACCAAATGGAAACAACTCAAAAAACATAATTTTTAAAGAAACGGACTACTGAATTAGTGTCTATGAAAACACAAACACACAATAGAAATATCACCTATAATGATCTAGTGAATGACTGCAAGATGGGTTTTAGAAAGAAGAATTTGAAATTAATTTTGATTTTCTTAGGGCAGGATCTTAGGTTGAGACAAAACTCGTGGCCTCTCTTTCTTTCTCTTGTAGCCTGTCTTTGGACATAACACATTTTGTTATTCAAGAGTTGGGAAGAAAAGGCTGGAAGCTGATTTCCTGTCTGCTAATGAATTTATCCTGGCACAACCTTGAAGCAGGTTGAACGTAATGAGTGAAATCAGTCCTCAGGTGGTCTGAGCTTATCAATAGCTCTCACTAACTGGACTTTCTCTGCCGTGCACCCCTAAACTGCTTGCTGCCCAACGCACGAAGCTTATTTTATGAGCTCGTTTAAACTCTGCAGTGTGAGTTAGCACCGGTGTTCTGAAGCACATGCCAAGCTGTGTGCCTCGATTTGGGGTTTGAGAGCTGGCCTCTACAGTAACGGAAGCAATAGATGGTCTGCTTCTCCGTGGCAATTTCACGGACCTGAAGAAAGAATTTAAGAGTCTATTTTCTGAAAATAGTCCAAGGAACATTCCTTAAGTGAAAAAAATTTAATCAAGAATAATCTTACATATTGGAGGAAGGCTTTTTAATATGGAATTTCCATCTGTGGTATATATTTAAATACTAGGCCTCAGGCAACAATGGCAGAGAAAGGCCCCTGTACCCTTTATTAGAAGCAAAACAAACAGTACAGGCTGGGAGCGAGTGGACCCTTCCTCTACTTCCCCAACGCTTTCCCTTTCTGAGAATTGCAGGACTCGCTTTACTGCTTATTTCCTTTCTCAATCTCTCCTGTTGGCATTAACATATTTATCACAAGTTTAATTACTTTGAATTATTTTGTCTGCCCCCACCCCTGAATCTTGTAGAGAAGGGGAACCATAAACTCCCCCAAAGTCAGCTTGCAGTTCTGTAAGCAGAAAACTGCCAATATCAAAATACAATAATGGCTTGATCCAGATTTGATGAGCTGACAAAGGCAGGGTTTGCTATTTAGGCAGCTCAGCCATCTTGACTGAGTACATTAAGCGGGCGATCCCCTCTTATTGCCTAGGCACTCTACCAGGGATTTCTAAGTTGGGTAGAACTCCCAGCATCCCTTACAACAGAGGCCTAACCCGCTGAAGCTGTCAATACAAATCTCATTTAGGATGCGGAAAGAACGCGCAAGTTTCAGACTTTATTATGCATTCTTCCAGTCCCGAAAAGGGCAAATGAAACTCCGTACAAGCGTAGAACTTTATTTCCTATTTTATTCTTGACCTGTGGCATGGATCTAGCCCCTTGATAGCAATGGTGTGTGAGACCAGGGCCCACTCTTTAATGGCTGAATGCACACGTTTAAGCAGCACATGGTGGATTCGCTGCTCTGCAAATTGCCGTAGAAAAAAAGTAAAGTGCAAAAGCAGACAAAGAAATCTATAACCTTCTCGGTCTTTCACATTTGTTCGGGCCGTTCTTTGAAGAAGCAGCTCGGAGCAGCGACAAGGATCGCGGAGAGATGCACCTGAAGCAGTTGTGTGCGGGCGGCCGCCTCGGCCGAGCCGCTCAATCGCGGCTTTCCAGCGGCGAAGGCGCAGCAGCAGTCAGAGGGAAGGCAGTGCGAGCCTCCCCGGCAGCGGCGGCGGCGGCGGCGGCACCGGCACCAGCGCAGTTTCCCCTCTCCCCAGCCCTGACTCTACGCGCACATGCGCACTGCGCCCGCAGCCCTGGACCATTTGTCAGGACTACTCGTGAGACGGAGAAAAAAAAGAGAGAAAATTTGGGGGTAAGGAGCGCTCGATCGGATCTAATCTCTAATTAATCCGCAGATCGGCCTGCGCCAGAGCCATTCATTGATTTTTTTCAGGGTGAGGATGAAAGTTCTGAGACCCAGAGAGGGAAGGAAGCGCACCCTCGTCTTGGGAAAGAGATCAGGGGAGGGGAAGGAGAGAAGGGGTTTTTCCCCCACTCCTCTGCGCCTCTGGGAAAGAGGAGAAAACTTAATCCCGGGGAAAAAAGTGGGCAAGTGACTCGGAAGCGGCTGGAGGGGGAGTCTGTGGGCATCTCACTCTGAAGTAGTGAGTGCGAGTGCGAAAGAGGAACAAAAGAGCGAGAAAAGAGAAAGGAAAAAAATGGGGGGAGGAGAGACTTGTATATTTTCCTCCTTTGCGCGCACACGGGGAAGGGTGTGGGGGGCCGTGCGGAAGGGAGCGGGCCGAGGCGGCCGCGTCCGGCCGTCGCCGGCGCGCAGGCGGCGGGATGCGTGTGGGCCCCCTCCCCCGCGCCCCCCCCTCCGAGCTTGTCACTTTGGTCGCTTTTTTGACACCGGGCGCGGGGTGGCGGCGGCGGTGGAGGGGAAGCGCGGCACCGCGGGGCTGCGTGTCCGGGGCGGCGCTGGGGGGGAAACGCGGCGGAGCCGCAGCCTCCCCGGGGGCGCCGAGCGCGGTCGGCCTGAGCCTAAGGGGGGAGGGGGCGGCTACGGGAGGGGACCGCGGGCACGATCGGTGCGGCGGCGGGAGGACGCGAGCCCCGGCGCGCCGCCCCTGCGGCCCCCTCCGCCCGTGTGGCCTTTGTGCCGGGCGCGCACCGGGTGAGCGAGCGGGCGGGCGAGCGCGAGAAGTCCAAGTACGGGAGACCGAGGCAGTGGGAAAAGAGGCCGGGCCACTTTGCTAACCGGCTCGGCTGCGGAGAAGGGACTGGTTGAATGTGGCAGAGGCGCGTCTGGCTGGCGCGGCCGTGTGTGTGTGTGTCGGTGAGTGTGTGTGTGTGTCGGTGAGTGTGTGTGTCGGTGAGTGTGTGTCGGTGTGTGAGCGCGCGCCGAGAGGCCTCCCTCCGCGACTCGCACCGCGCACACGCACCCGCACACGCACGCACACCCGAGCCGCGGCGGGGCCGGCGGCCGAGAGTTTGCGTGTGTGCTCTCCCCGCTCGCCACCTCCCCCGCTCGCCGCCGCCGACTGTGGGAGAATTTCCTAGAGATCGCCTCCAATTTCCGCCATTTTGGGAAAGTTGCACGGAAAAAAAAAAAAAAGAAGAAAGAAATAAAGCCTCCGCTGGATATTTTTTTCTTTTCCCTGCTGGAGACAGGAAAGTGCTTTTAGGGAACGCGGCGGCGCGGGCTCGACACTGCTGTCCCCGCGGGAAGGAGGGCGCGGGGCCGGCCCGGGCACCCGCGCCGTCGCGGCGATCTTTTCCGCGCAGCGCCGCCGGTGCGGGCGCGGGCGTGCGAGCGAGGCGAGGCGGGCTGCGGCGGGGGCCGCGGAGCCTGCAACTTGTTTACCGCTGCCCGGGGTGGCCGAGGCCGGCGGTCCGGGTCCGCCTCGCCACGCGTGCGTGCGCCGATCTGCGCTCATGGGCTACTGTCTGGTCCACGCTCGCGTCCTGGGCCCGGCGGGGCCGGCCTCGCGCCGCGGCGGCGGGGCGGGGGAAGTAGAGGCCGGCGGGGGTGGGGATCGGGAAGCGCAGGAGCGGAGGCATCCGCCGCGCGCCCCGCCAGCCAGCCGCCGGCCGGAGGAGGAGGCAAACTTGAGAGCGGCGGGGCTAGGGTCGCGCTGGCGGAGGGAAAACTTTAATCGCCTCCTCGGGAAAGCAGAAAAAGAAAAAATAGAAAAAGCTAAAAGGAAAAATATCCAAAAGACAAAAAAGTGCATGTGTGTGGGGGTTTCTAGGACCCGAACCCCACGATCCGATCTCATCCGATCATGGCCCACCACGGCACCGTGAGAGAAAGTTGACCAGTGGGGCGGCTTTCTCCGCGCCCGGCTCGCGCCTGGCCAAGGTGTCTGTCTGTCCGTCCGCGCTCCGACACAACAGGGGTGGGAGATCCAGCCGCACTGCCGGGTCGCGTGGGTCAGGGCTCTTGCCCCACCCTTCCACGGGGACACGAAGGTAAAAGTCGCTTTGGTTTTCCTTCTCTGTCCTCCTGCAGCCACCGCCCAGCTTTCTTTTCCTCCCCTTCCCCCTGCTGATTTTTTTGGAGGGGGGTTGTTTTTTTAGGGGGGGATCCAAAAAACGGAGTCTCTTTCCTTATGCAACTTCCTCGGGTGCTGTTTGCAGGGCCCTTCCCCCGGCCCCCCCGCCTCCTGCATCCCTTGGCCCGCTCCTTTGCCACTTCGGGGCTACCGCCAAAAACATGCATTTAAGATCATCCAAAGTGCCCAGAACAAAAATAGATGTTAAAAAATTGTTCTAAGTTAAGGGAAACTGAGAGGAGAAATAAGAAACCGGTTTGAGTGTGTGTGTTGAGGGGGGGAGGAGCGTCGCCTGGGATGAGTGCGTTGAATTTTCATTTCAATTTTCGTAGATGGTTGGTTATGGTGTCGTTATTGGTGTGAGGGACCCGGGAAGCTCTATACTGGCTACCTCGGTCGCGTGGATTTTTGCGCAAGTTTTTTAGGAAAACACTGGCTCGAGTAGAGAGCCTTTCTCCGGAAAGTTTCAAGTGCAGCAAAATAGCGAGCCTGCAAAACTGGCCAAGGGGGGACCTCTAGTGGTTAAACGCATCTTAAGTTCGACAGGCAGACACCAAAGTTTGGCCTTTACTTGTAGCTACGTAGTCCGTTTAGACGTGGAAGTGATTAGATGACCTGAGTTAGCAGCCAGATGTGAGAAAGGATGCTGGTCCGAAATCGAAGTTTTGTAAGTCAGAGAACAATGACGTCCGAGCTTTCAGGCCCTGTGATTTCTACCCTTTTTTTCTTACACTAAAAAAACCAAAGCCTTTTATTCTGAGATTTGAGATTGACACTCCTTAGATAAGAAAATTTGTCTTCTGTTTACCATCATCTGCACCTTTCCCCGGTTTTCTTTCCTCCCTAACGAGTCATAGCAGATAACTTAATTCGGAATGTTAAGGAGAAATCAAAATGAAATGTGTGCTTAAAACTTTGCAAAAACTGAAATAAAAAACCTTTTTAAATTTGCTTTTTATATGAACTGATCATTTTGTATGTATCTCTGATACATATAATTTCGGACTAACAAGTTATTCAATAATTTACATGTAAACTTACATATATATTCAAAATAGACAGTATCTTCTCATTGTAACAATGTAATTTTGATTCACTGAATAAAACCGTTATTTCAGTATACTTTGTATAATTTATGATTTACAACACTTTATATATACACATGAGTTACATATTTCCCAGTGTGTATTCTGTAAAGAATCTTGAATTTTAAAAATAAAAACCGGAGGAATTAAGATTGTGTTATATCATCCTTGTAATTGTCACACAGTGAAAGAGACAGGGCCCAACCAGGTAGCTCAGGCTAGTGTTGAATTTGTATTTTCCTGCCTCAGTGTTCCTAGTGCTTAGGTAACAGTCTTATTTACAGTGAGAATTTTTGTTGTGTGAGTTTAGAATATGGGAATGATGTGAGTGATTAAAATTAATTTTACCTCATGTGGAACTGGTTAATTTTATTTTAATACACTGGTGTGGAGTGATGGATGTTGAGTTTGAATTGTACATTATGAATGTGAAGACTTTATGAGAGTGCTTTGATTTTCCCTCCCTTTTCCTCTTATAAAATCAATGCTAGATCCTTATAGGAAGTCTTGGGGGTACACAGCAGTTCTGAAGGCCACCAGACAGTTTTTCACCATTGCCTCGAAGTAAGAGTTACTTGTTGCTACACATGGCTTTGTATACTAGAAATGCTGGACACTTGATTTCCAGTGCAGCCAGAAATTAGAGTGTGTGACAGGATTAGTAACAGGGAAAACAACAACAAAACCTTAGTTTGTGGGAACTGCTTTGAATATTTGAACAAGTAGACAGCAAGTGTGCTTGAAAAGGTGAATGAAGCACTAGGCAAAACGGAGAGTGCTTGTGTGGCCTTTGTGGGTGCACGGGGAGGCCAGAGACCAGCTTGAGTTGTTACAGTTACAAGCTTTTCTGCAGTACAAGCTGCCACCCCCTCAAGGAACCTGGCTCACTGATTGGCTAGATTGGCTGGCCAATGAGCTGCAGGACTATGTTGGCACTCTCACCCCCCAAGTGCTCAGGTTACTGATAGGAGTGTTCCAGGCTTTTATGGAAGTGCTGGGGATCTGAACTCAGGTCTTTATGCTTTGCTGGCCGTCTCTTTATTGACTTTGCTTTCTCCTAGCCTCATGTTACTAGATTTTGGGGGATGAGATGGGTAAGGCAGGGTTTCTCTGTGTAGCCCTGGCTGTCCTAAAACTTTCTCTGTAGACCTTCTCGGGCCTCAGACTCAGAGATCCACCCACCTCTGCCTCAGACATGCTGGGATTAAAGGTGTGTGCCTTTATCACCCAACCATTACTGTATTCTTAACTGGTGTTTCAGCTCCCGTTTTTTCTACTGAAAACTATTTATTTATTTTCTTCTGAATTGAAAAAGTGGGAAAAATCAGAACAAAGCAGTAGTGAATTAATACCTTATATAGATAGACAATGGTAGGGAAGAGACAGGAGCTTTAAATGCCTTTGCAGTCTGAGCTACAATTTTGTAGCTAAAATTTATGACAATGGGGGGGGTATTTAATTAACATATAATTAACATTTAAGTAACTCCTATGGATTAAATCAAAGAAGGCCTTCTTCTGCCAGATACCATGTCTTAGGGATGTAGCATAGATTTAGGAATTTTTGAAAACATTTCTATGGGGATATAGAAGTGTTGTCTAATAAATTCTTTTTGGTCATCCTGGAGGGTACTGGTTTACTCCCAATGTATAATCCAGGACCTTTCTTTAGGATCAAGGCTATTCTCTGATGAAGGAAGCCAATGCTGGGGTAGAATATCGAAGTAGTGC